CATGATGCAATGCAATCAGAGTGCGCACACCGCGTGGTCTGAGCGGGTGCATTCTTTAATTACATCGATGGATGGTATCACGCCACACGGACGCGTGATAGATTTATATACGACCTTTGATCGCTCTTCGGTTTATTGTTAATGGAAGTTAATTTTCTGATGCGTAACTTTTTTTTCTTTAAGCCAGCTGAAACTTGGTTTACAAGTCTTGGACTTCCGCTTAAGTGACTCTTTGAGGTAAGATCGGGCTTACATTTGTTTCCCTGGCAATCAAAAGAGTCTTTAATTATCTAAAGGCGAAATTAAATTGGAAATAAGTGATGGGAAGCGAAAAATGAGTCATTTTCAGCTCTGGTTCTAACTCCAGGCTATATGTTTATGACAAGATTGAATTTTTCTAGGAGAACACATCGTCGCTCACTTGTTCATCAATGATCAACTGAATTTATTTACTAAAATGTTTTCAAAATCAGTTTCTCTAACACACCTGAATATTACTTTCATGGCAACATTCTCTAGTTAAAATCGGCTCGTCTGGCTGACAGGTCTTGACAGGTCCTGACAGGCAGCTCTTAGCATCAGATTATACATAGGTACTCTGAAAGTTTATTGTTGACAACCAATAGATTTATCTAATCAACTTCGTATTAGTCTATTCTCCAAAGAAGGACAATCGAATTTCCATAAACATTTATATTGCATGACAAAGACTGTAGTTGTCATTTAATTCCATTTCGTGCGCAGAAGGTTAGATCTGCGCAACTGGCCTAACAAGACTCGATAGTAATCCTGTTAACACGCTATTTCAAAACAAGTCACTGAGGTACTTAAGCTTTCCTTTGCAGAACTGTGCACTAATAAAGGAAAATAATGCATTGTTGACCTTGTTTCAAGGACCCACTAAATCGAAACGCTGATCGCGCGCAGGTCAACAGGTACGTGATGTATGATAAATCAACAAATATCATCTTAGCCAACCATTTTGAATCCTTCTTCGGTGTTGAAGGATAAAAAATTACAAAACAGGTAACGCAGTGAAAATTTATACTCAGATGGTCTGAAGTTTTGTATGCTTCCAGTTGCGGAATAAAGACGCTGATTAGTATCGTAACCACTGCATCGGATCGATAAGGGTTTTGATAACTGGGAAGCGAGAATTTATTTTATTAATGCCCCGTCCCCCTACCCCACATATGCAATCTTGTTTTAAAGAGGTACTCGTAGAAGCCAATACCTAGGATTCTACATATTGGCCCCTTTGAGGCCCTAATAAAAATTCTCAGAAACCCAGTTCAGAACTTTCACCTCATCTTCGTTATCATGGTTGTCGAACCTCCGCTGTTAAGGACGATATACTCCGCTTTTAAACCTATGGTAATATTCTGCACTTCCAGTATAGGAAATAATTTTATTTTATCGCAAAATTGTCGGTATTGGGTGAATATTATATGCTAATTATCACAATGTCTGCACAATATTTGGGAGTTGCTTTTTTGATTGGAAATTAGGTAACCAATGAAAAGAGACTTACACTAATTACCATGTAACGCATCATAGAAATACTGCCTTGGGTAAGAAATGAACCATTTGATTGTTGACTAATTTTTTTTCTTTTCTTTCTTTTTATCCCTTTGGTTCACCTTTGTTTACAAACGTTTTTGAAATCTTGTAGCGGTTGACTCGGTATCCAAGTAAAGGTACGATGTGAAGTGAATGTAACGGACATGGGTACGTTTCTAGGACATAAAACTGTGCTCGTCTAAGTTTTGTTTCTAAAGCAAGTCAGTAACGGAGGAGCACCAATGTCTCTCAGGCGGATTTTTGGTAGAAAGTTATTTAGTAAACGTCGTCTCACTGTGGGTGCAGTTGTGGCTAGTTTACCCTTCATTGGTTATCTAATGTTACTTTCGCCTTCAAGAAGACTTTCCTATTCATTTTCGACCAACGAACATAACTCGTTGTCTACCACCTCAGTATCGAACCAGATCTGGAATGAAACAATTGTGACAAAAATTCCAACAGGTAACATTAACTTGACATCAGCACCGATGACGGTGGCAGCTACCACTGAAACGGTACAAGTTACGAATGTGGCTTCAAGACCTCCAGGACGCCTAGATGTCCATATGTGGAATGAGATATGTGGAACCTCGGTCGAAATTTTAAAAAACTGTCCTCATTTTCCTTACTTTCCCGACACACGTTCATTCATCCCTGATTTTTATGACTTTCATGCACGTGGTTCTACGAATAACGGCGAGAGAGTTTTTGGATTTATTCACCCCGCTGAAAGCGGTGAGTATAAGTTTGCCATATCCTCGGATGACACATCTGAGCTATGGCTAAGTCAAAATGAGGATCCTGGTTCCAGTGAGATGATCGCACGTGTTTATTCTCCTAAAGAGTCGGCATGGACCGAAGAAGGGAACTACAAAAAATATCCTGAACAAATTTCTAAAGCATTCACTCTCTTCGCTGGGAAGAAATATTACGTCGAGTGTTTAATGAAGCAAGGTTCTGGTGCCGCTCATTTAACTGTGTATTGGTCTTACAACAACGCGACATTTGAAATAATAACTTCGAAATATTTATCCTCGTTCTCTGGCACTCACGAATCGATGATTCCAGTTCATGCGGGAAAACGAGAAAATAAATTGCTGCAAACAAAATACAGCCTGTATGACTTTAATCGTCTTCCGCTCTTAAACCGGCAAGAGTACGTTGACTTATTTCCAAGTTGCCCCTATAATCCCAGTTTTCTTGTGCACAGGAAGCTGAAGCGATACCAAGGCGTGTCGATTGCAAGACGATCAAACGTTTTCCCTCAAGACAACACGGACATGTCAAGCCGTAGAGTGAAACACCAGTGGTCTTTCCCTAATCCGCTGATAGACGGAAATGCAGTCCAACTTGTTGTAGACCGCTTTATCAACACTCTAAAGTCTGAGAGGTAAGCTGTCGGCCGTATTTACATTTTCACAAAATATATATCGAATTGCACTTTATATAATTTGAGAAACGCTTGAGAGGTTCAACTTGCATTATTGATTGTTTTTTTGTTCTTTTATTTCACACGCTTATCGTGTATCTTGTGAAAACAAAAAACAAAAAAACTCAGCACAGTGTCTCGAGGTCTCATAGTTTGTGCCACAAAAATTAGTATCATGGTACCGCAATATAGATAAATGACTATCACTGATTGCTGACATTGAACTGACACGTAGATGCTATTGGGATAAAAAAAAAAAAAGGTGAAGAAAGTTTACCGCAGTAAAACTTTAAATCTGTGCCTTTCCTTCCACTCTCTGTATTATGCCACACTACAGAAGTGTGCAGCTAAAATGATAGAATTTCACATTTTAATTCATTACGTGACAACAAAGTCGACCTTAGCCATTTCAATGTTGGTTCGCGTATTTAATGTCGATAAATATCAGGAAGGAAGATTCATGTTTTCGGTTTTCTAATCGGCGCGTTTGCATGTAATAATTAAGTTTCATCTGTTTATCACGTAATTGGAAAAAAAGGGGAAGGAAAAAAATGCACCAGATTGGTTCTAATTCCTCTGTGGGCGCGTTTGAGTCTCTGACTCCTGTTTGTGAAGGAAAACAAGTTATGATTACCGAAAAACTGACTAAACACCGAAAACAGAATATCGGCATAGAGTCTGCTAGTTTGTGCTAAAACAATTTTTCATTGTGCTATCGCAATACAGCTTACTGAATAAGAATGATTGCACTCAATTTTAGGTCAGTGATACGAGTTTCTGGTTTTCTTATTGGAAAAAAAGACTGAAAACCAAAGAAAAAAAAAGTGCACTGGAGGGATTCTAAATTCTATCAATTAAAAGTTACTCTGACTACCGGTCGTGAAGTAGGAGACTTGGGAGTTATGAATGCCAAAAAGCTGACTCAACACCGAAAAAAGAATACATCTACCAACTATGAATAATTTTAGTATTGAGCTGTGCACATTATTAAGCTTCATTGTAAACCGATATATTTTCCTCCCATCGCCGTTGCCGATGCGATGCGCTCCTACTGTGATTATTGATTGAGTGAGCTCATAAAAAAATGAGTGAATGAGATGAATTATTGATGAAGAACTATTTTGTTTCATTCGTTTGTGATCCAAGCGGTTATATTTAAAGAAGTTTTTAATGTCGGTAGCGCCAATAAATTGTATAGCGGTGTTGAGAGGTTCAGTGGGGTCAACCGATAGCCGTAATACGGCAAAAAAGAATAAAAATAACCATTAGGAGTAAAATTGGACAAATTTTAACCGTTAGTCGTAGAAAAAGTTAGCCGAAAAAAAAATTTCCATTAAGTTAACAAATAGACCATTAGCCGTAAGGTGGCCAAAATGTTTACGGTTAGCTGTAAAAGCCATCACGCCACCGGCTGAGACTCCCGGTATTGCGTGGGAAGGACTTCAATACAAAAGCGTAATTTCCAGCTGTGTCATCTCAACATCCAGGGAAAATTCGAGATCTAATTGTCTTTGGAAAGGTATTCAGACAGCTTTGTTATAGTGTTAATCAGTCAATCTGGCCCCGGTCGTTCGAAGACTGAATAACGCTATTCACGGGAGAAATCTCTATCCAGTGGATAGCGCAGTAGGTTTTGAAAACACTTACCCGCTGGTTAGTAATGCATCCGTTGGATACCGTTCTCTCCGCTTTGAACAACTACATCCAGACTGTTGTGACAAGCTGTCAAAGGCTCCGCAATTATGCGTGGGAAAATGACAAACAGAGATGTCAAAAGAACTGTCGTAGTTTGATTAATTATTTTAATTTCATATTAATTGACTCTTGAAATAACGATTTTTGTTTTACCTGTGCTGGCCAGAAACTCACGGAACCGTGAACATTAGCATATTGTAGAGAAATGTTTTTATGCTTTGAAGAAAAAGCTATTCAGGCGTCAAAAAAAGAAACCACAAATAACAATGTTACATTTAGTTTGCGGTTTTCAGGTTTGCTCGCTTGTCCTGAAATTTGCTTTGATTTGTCAGGAAACAATTTTAAAAGCTGTCAGAGTTAAGTAGAGTGTTTTCTTTTTCTTTTCTTTTTTTTTTTTTNAACTGTTCCACCCGTTCTACATAGGTTTCCCATTTCTCCTGTGTTTCATCAAAACTTTCTATCTTCCCGATAGCAGTCATATTTTCGACGGTCTCCTACGACTTTATCCTCGTCGCCACTGTCATGTATTCGGTTTTTATTTAAAAGCACATGGAATCGATAATGCGCACACGTGCGCATGCTTACGAGAACCAACCGCATACACGACAACAGTTACTATTGTTCATCGATCATATTTCTCGCTTCTAAAACTTGTCTTCTCCTTCGTTAGAGGAATGTAACACTATCAACAGAATTAAAGGTTTTTTGAAGCAAATTTTCAAAGAGAAAGAGACTGTGTTTTATTGTTCTGTCTAGCCAAAATGAAGGAATATGATCTGAACTGTGTTTCCATCGTTTCGGTTCGTTACCGGAGACCGAAGATTTCGCGCAAGATCAGCTTTTGTCTACCTGTGTTTCGACACTCCCGGAACACTCCACGGGAAGCAAGAGCAGGAGAAAGCCAAGATGTTCATCGAACGGTTCACAGCGGGATCGCTTTCCGATCGGGGAACTGGCCAGAAAAAGAGCTACTCTTGGCCAGAAAAAGAGATGAATATTTTTTGAAATCCAAAGAGGTTTCTGGCCTGCAGAAACAAATTCAGCGAGCAAATTCAGAAGCAAATTCAGCTAGCCTCCCGGTTAGCTCAATGGATAGAGCGCTGGACTGTGGTGCGGGAGGTCGAGGGTTCGAGCCCCGGCGGGACCAACACTCAAGGTCTTAAAATAATTGAGAAGAATTTGCTACCTTTCTATAACATCAAGAAATGGTTAGATATTCTAGTCTTCTCAGATAGGGAAGAATAAATGGAGGTCTTTAATCTTATCATTAAAGGATGTACTATTCTAAATAAATGGCAGCTCTATCAGTTAAACAGTAAACTGTAACTGATCAGTTAGGTGTTCCATGCAATTTTAGTTTTTAGTCATTATGTCAGACAAACCACATTGTAATCAACAAACATGAATTTTAAGATGTTAGAGTATATGTTTTTGTAAAAGAACTTGATCGGGGACTATTGAGATGTTTGTCTCTGAAAGCATTAAAGGAAAATGATTGAGCAATGGCAAGTGTCATTAATTTGAGTCCTCTATTCAATGTTGACTGATCCCAAAAGAATTCCAGTATCCATAGTGAAATTTTGCTCTCAAAATCTCCTCTTTACCATTGTAGATCATAGTTTCCTTCTTCTGATCATTGACAATAAGCTTTGCCTCTCCTTTTCCTTCACCAAGTTTTTTCCTGAACCCACCACAATCTTCAAATTGGTCAAAAAGGTTGCATAACCTTCTCAGGCTGGAAAATGTTATAGCCACTGATCCCTGTTTGGTTTCAACCTCTATCCCATACCTTGTTACACTAAGAATCTCCTTTTGCAAAAGATCGAAGACCTCCTGTGGCATAGGAAGTTCAAAGCAAACCATCCACGGATGTAGTTTGCTCATTCTTAGGCTAAGACAGCGTTATATCACAGTCTTTGCGCAAATCAAGCTTCTTCCTAGAATGGAGTAAATTTGGCCGATGTAATATTTAGGTCGCTCACGAATACCTCCAAACTTCGATTTCACTACCACTTCAGCAAGCTTGTTAAGCTCTTTGATTGTAGTATCTAAGTTTCTTAGTTTTTATGCGTTTGATATTCACCGCTCAAATTTTGATTTCTCTTGCTTCAGGGCCTCTTTCATTTAAATAATTAGTTCGCCTTCGGTAGTTTCAGAGTGATCGCCATCTTAACTGAACCCCAGATCCTTCGCGGCCAAAATGAAAGTTGGCCCAATTTCGAGCTATAATTTCCTGGCGTGTCTGAGAACGGAAACCTTGACTGCACTTGATTTGAATTCTCATTTAAAACTCAACGCTGATCCCATACGTTTTTCTGGCGTTTTATTTTTTTCTTTGTCTCTAATTCCTGCATTAATTAATCTGCTTATCTAGTGATATTTGTACATCAACATGAATTTACATTTTCTACTTTTCTATTTTATTATTGTTATGTATATATTTATCTATCCTGTCATATTATGTTTGTCAGAGATTACTACTTGAAGAAAATTCACAAAGTTATTCATAAACCAGACCCCAAGAATGGTGATCGCTTTTTGTTAAACCTTGAGATTGGTTTAACGAGCAACAATGAATCATATCGGCTATCAGAACACGTGTATCATGTGCATGGGAGTGAAAAATTGTGTCTTCCTGAGAGAATGGAGTGGAATAACAGCGCCATGGTCTACTTCATTCTACCTGTCAAGGATCAAGGAAAATGGGTGCACCATTTTATCAAGGAACTCACTGCTGCCAGTTTATTAACCAGAGATACCAACTATCACGTCATAATTGTCGATTTTGACAGCAAAGACATCGATATTGCCAAAGCCTTTAACACACCTTTACTTAAGAGCAGGCATACAATAATCTCACTGACTGGTAAATTCTACAAGACACTTGCTCTAAACAAGGCCGTCGCACAGGTTCCTAATGCGACTAATATAATTTTTCTCTATGATCTACACATTGATGTGCCCCCAGACATCATGGACAGCGTCAGAATGGTAAGTTATTCGTTTGTGTAATAATAATAATAATAATAATAATAATAATATAATATTTATATTGCGCAAATTAACATGTGGATATGATCAAATGCGCATCACAACACTTTTTGGGGGACTTTGGCCGGACTGCATCAGCAGTTTACAAACAATCGAAGGAAACTTATTTGTGTTTGACTACCATAGCAGTTCAAGAGCTAAGGAAGATCTGTGATGCTGGTTTATGTGCACCGCAAGCACACATGCAAATGTATCATGCATTAGTGCATTGAGTGTGTATTCTCATATAATCCAACTTCTGAGGTCCGATAGAAAAAGCTACTAAAGCCACTGCATAGAATTGCACTGATGCAACTTAGGTCAGAAGAGAATGCCTGAGAAAGTAAATATTCCAATTGGAAAAGAGATACTTTCATGACCAAATATGTAGCAGACGAGATTGGCTTACTTGAATCAGTGATATAAACATGAAAACTACAGAAACATAGTGGTTTTGCTTCTGTTGAAAGTCTAGCTGACTCTGTTCTTGGTGGTGTTTATCTATTACATGTATTAACTCTCTGTTTTGCTTTCTTTAGAACACCATTGCAGGGAAACTAGCTTATTTTCCGATTGTTGGCCGCCTTGATTGCCAAAGTTCTTCTGTAGAACATCAAGGATTTTGGGAACTAGATGGGTATGGACTTCTAAGTATCTATAAATCAGACTGGAAAAAATTTGGAGGTGAGTAACAACTTTAGTTTACATTGCAATAATAATGAAAGACCAAAACCAAACATTTAACCTATTGAAAAATGAAATTCAAGGCGGAAAATAAAAAAATTTAAATAGCAAGGACTAAAATTTTCAGGTCTAATGTAACTTTCTCGTCATGTTCACTATTGAAGTCCCTTAAAAAAAGTAAGACTTGGGATATAGAGTTCATGCATAGTCCGAAATCCCACGATGAAGAATTCTACTTTTCTATCCCCAGGTATGAACGCCGAAGAGTACCAATTCAAATGGGGGGGAGAAGACTGGGACCTACTTGATCGTGTATTAATGTTGCCTATAGAGGTGGAAAGGTTCAAGCACCCAGGCCTCTATCATCATTATCACACCAAGACCAACATGTGGAGTTAGACGGCGCTTTGTAGTCAATAATATTAGGAACCTTGATCAAGCCGCTACAAAGGCGAAGGAGTAGGAACGAACCATTTAATGAATAAATAATCGTTAAAAAACGCATTAAAAAGCCGTCCATCATTCTTGGCCGTCTCAGGTAAAACAACAATGAAATCACCAAAGAGAATACCAATGGTTAATCATTTTCTGTTTGGAACTTAGCGTTTCTTTCACCTGTTGATGTGCTCTGGCTGCGTTAGAGATGGGACAGAATTCAAATAATCCGCAAAACTCCTCGACTGAGAGGCTTTAGTTCTTTTAATCAAAGTTTTCCTTGGCGAGGTTGTTATATATTTATAGACTTTATTACGATAAAATAATAAGATTATAATTTTCTGATTTGCATGTTCAGTGAAGCGCGTAGAAAGAAATAGAATAAATTATCGTAATTACAAATTCGCCTCGACTACGCGCGGCGGGAAAAGTCGGGTCATGTGACTTGTAGTTTAAAGGAACAATTTATGCTGTAAGATTCATTCGAAGCTAGTGATCAACGGTCAACGCAAACATCAAGGGATCCGATTACGGAGAAACACAAATTTTGACTGATTCTCTCCTATGATTGAAGGGCTACTTATTTTGAAGATTAGGCCAGGGATCAACGATGTCAGATTTTATTTGTACTACGTAACGATTACGCTTACCATGGATGTAAAGAACCGTATCTTACATTAGTACAAATAAAATCTGACATCGTTGATCCCTGGCCTAATCTTCAAAATAAGTAGCCCTTCAATCATAGGAGAGAATCATTTTCTCTTGACTGAATATATTGCTACATTTTACGGAATTTTCTGGATCTGAAAATATCTATGGATATAGAAATTTAAATCGTTGAAAATAAATTTCTAATTCAATTTTTGAATCAGTACTCCGTTGGACCGGAGTACTCTACACGGCAAATGATAATAATAATAATAATAATAATAATAATAATAATANACTGCCAAAAGACATAGTTTTATTCAAGTATCAAATATCAAAGCTTGTTTGTCATTGAACACTGCCTTCAAGGAATTTCGAGCCTGTGTTGGAGATGGAAAAAAAATCCCTGAAATTTATGCATGTATGCTCCGCTATTGTTCTACGTATTTAATCTACTTTGTTTCACGAACTCTTTTTTTTGTCTCAAATGAGACAATTTCCTGATATTCAAAGTTTCTGAGCTGGTTCTCAAACATTCAACACTTACACAGTACAACACCCACTCCTCCCCACCCCTCCCTCTTTTTCATAAGAGTTAAATTTCATACGTCACTAACACCGAAAAAGATGTAAAGCAGTGAAACTGATCTGAGGCGAGGGAAAACTAGATTTACCAAGTGAAGTTTGTTATAATTTTGCAAATGGTTCGATCGAAAAAGTTTCCTGGACTTATTACAAAGCGTTTTGAAAACAAAACAATTGGAAGCCGAATTATTTTTCACTCTCGATCGAAAATTACTCCATTATGCCCTGAACATCATCACACGGCATCATGGGATTGGAGAACAGCCGTGATAACACGATATAGCGGATGACCTGCGTAAACGATAACTTGGGAGGGGGGATGACGGTCGAAATTAATTAAAACAAAGATTTCATTCCATATTAGCATACCGGTATACCTCTAACAATAGCAGCCGCGTCACACTTTGCTTTCATGCGACGTTACTTTTGAAGACCAACTTGCGCATGTCAGTTGCATCATTTCTCAAAGTAAATCATATGTTATTTGAATGACATTTGTTTATTCTTATGACTCTAAACACTCATTTTTTCACATGATTTGCTTGCCATGGAAATTTAATGACTAGGACTCTACCAGGGTACCCACTGACGCATGTTGTCAAACTGTTGGGTATGCTGTGAGGATATTCCTTTTATTGTTGAACTTGATGATTTTGAAGCGCAGTTGTTTCCCGTTGATTTTGCACGAGCAGGAACTTCCCTCAAAGAAGCAAGCTGTGTACAAAGCCATCTCAAAATCTGGACTGGTGCCCACGAAAAAGCTGCTGCCTGGAGGCTTTTTTTTCCCCATCCATTGAAACCTCGCTCTCACCAAGGCAGGCTGAAACAAGATGAGGCAACAAATTGTTGATTGGCCAGTTTCGCTGTTTTGACGCAGAGTAGACTGGGTCGAGAACTTCCCGAGGAAGCCTCGAAGCCTCACGAGCGAGTTTTGATGAGCCCTTTTCCAAACATTGCTCCTGGGAAAGGTTTTGAACGAGTGAATCTCACAAAAAGTCAATTAGAAGTAAACAACAGTCAATGTGGGAGGGTATGATTGAGCTCGCAACGATTAGTTTGGCATATAATTGATTAGAAAAGGCGTGACGTTTTTTTAGACAATCATGAATTAAAACATAGTGTATTCCAAATTCCTTTCGATCCTCAATAAAATAACTTAAGCATGGAAACATACTTCGATAGAAACTTCTTTGGAAATAAGTGGAGGCTGGTATGTCAACCTTCCCGATGTCCGCTCTGCAAGGAACTGGAACCAATTGTGCAAGCCTTTGGTGACCTTGGTACCTCTGCTGTAGCCCAGTTCTCCTATTTAAAAAGAAAACAAAAGAAGAAATCTCGAGAAGCAATTATGTAAAACAATTGTAATAGTTTGAGTTTTTTACCTTCAGCTTAACTAATGATTCTCCGTGTATAAATATAGTATTACATTACATAAAGTTTTTACATTTGCATCGGAAAACTGAACTAAGAAGAAGAAGAATTCTCGAGAAACTATCATCGGAAAAGCGAACTAAGCAAAAGAAGAATTCTCGAGAAACTCTTATCGGAAAGTGAAGTGAACAATTACTCACAAATGTATTTGTCTCAATATTTTGGGGCTCTTATGGATATTTACAGGATGGCTATACTCCTTAAAAAGCAATTCGAGATCCACAGTTGGTATTTTAAAATCCTGCTTTTTTATGAGATGAACAACAATTGGCAAGGCTTGAAAAAAAATTTTCGGTGCAGGTTCTATTTTAAATAAATGCCCTGAAGAGATAATAATGAATTCGACTCCGAAAAATGTTCCCATTGTACATATTTTAAAGTTGTTAAATCGAGAACTGAAACAAGACTAGAAGGCTAAGACTGATACCTACCAACAAAAGTGTGTTCAAAACCAGATGATTTTAGGCCTTGTCCTCTCTTAGCATATTTTTCGAACCACATTTCCTTCAGGATTGGCTTAAATTGGTCGATACACTAAAAAATACGGTGAAAAAATAAAAAATATTTCAGCATTTTTGAAAGAAAACATGGTATAAAAAACCGAGCTTACATGACGCGCGCTGTTTGCGCGTTGCGCACTTTTCCGAATCTTAGGGTGTGCTAGAGAGTGGTGCGCACACGATAAGTGTGAGTGAAAGTGGCAGTGCTTTATAGATGGAAAGTCACACTTCAATGATTTTGTGTACAATTGGGTTTTACAGCGTTACAGTTTTATAATGAGTTTTGGCTATTTATTTTATGAACCTTTTTTTTAAACCGCTTACGAACATCAACCACCTGGTATGTGTATACGAATCATGTAAAAGACAATCAAGTTTCTTCTCCTAAAGTGCTTTTCATCTTCCTCTCCTATCGCTCATAGATTTCACATCGAGGTAACCTGTAAAAGGGAGACAGTAAAGTTTGTCCTTACTGTCATAGAAACTTTGCCATCATTTTTCAGATATTCGAAAACAGTCTGCATCGGTCCTCCATTGGTCTTAGTGATGGTGTCGATGAAGGCATCTTCCTCTCGTTGTTTGGCAACAGAAGGCTTCTCGTGGAGATTTTCGTCTGCTTCGTAGTTGTCTAACAAAGCTTTGAATTACACATATCAAATTAATACATTTGACTTTCTTCAAGAAAGTACTCACTTTCTCAAAGACAGCCGTAGCAGGCCACAAGGTATAGCTTACACGGGTAAGGGTGGTCCTGCGGTGTATATGACACGCATCACATCACCCCCCCCCACCCCAAAACAAAGGACAAACGAGCCATAGAAGAAAAAGTAGCTGTTATAGCTAACACTACTGAAATGTGAAAGAAGTGTGAGATGCCGAGAGAGAAGAGTAAGATCCGCAACTTAAACTTTAAACTTTTCCTTTTGAGAGAAGGGTTCTCTTTCCTCTATTAACACTTCTCTTACACTGTTTTAGTGAGAATGTCAGTGGAAGCGAACTGTTTACAGTCAGGGTCTGACACACACTTCCTGAAATAACCAATCGGAAATCAGAGATGACATTGATACCTTTCACCCTGTTGTACATGCCCTCAGTAAAAAAACTGTAATTCAAGAGTGAAATGCGACCAACTCACCTTGAAATTTAACAAAAACATCCTTTTGTACCTTTCCCTTTCCTTGTTTTGTCAAAGTGATTAAAGGTTTGGTCTCTCCTCCAGAATACAGAATTATTTCTTGACCGATTCTTAGATTGTTTGCGGCTGAGTTCCAGATGTTTTGACACAGATTATCAAAATCAGTTCGCCTGAGGAAGAATTAAAAAGCGTTTCACATGGGAGTATGCCAAATACTCTAAAAACACATGTACTTATCGCTCACGAGCATTTACTGGCCTCTTTACTGTCGCATTATTCAGTGACCATGATGATATCAAGCTAAGATAGCCGTTCATACGCGAAAAGTCAAAAACCGAATAGAGAACAACGTAGTAGGGGTGACCGTCCATGTACCTGACATAGAAAATCCCTCATCATAACCAGGAAAGCTTTTCTGGAAGTGAAAAGCGTCAGATGTGACTGCAATTACCTTTCAAAACTCGTGAATCCTTGGGAAAGACTTATCATCAGAATATAGTTCAGCAAAAGAAAACTGAGACGTAAGCGGTGCATTTTCTCCGGGATAAAATTATATGATCCAGTGTCGAGCAACTACCGCACAGAATGAAGAAAAATGGCCAATAAATATCATGAGGAATAACGCAAAGCTCTTAAGGTTTTCAGTCAGGTATAGGTTTATGTCAGCAAAACAAAGAGGAAATAGGCAAATTTCTTTTGTCCTCAAGATCCACTATTAGCCTCGCTGAAGTGCGTGCCGCGCCATACTGTCAAATCATAAAGTGATTTGCTTTTCAAAGTAGCTTCAAATTGAAACTCGTTTACCCAGCAGGCTATCGGCGCTTCAGTACATTAGCAAAGGGCTAAATTGTATTGAAATAGCTGCAACATCTAACTTTGTTCTCGAAGGAACTTATCACAGTATCGCTAATATTATGCACCACACACTTAGCACATGTCAATCTCACTTAAATATCCGCAAACATTACTGCTTCCACGCACTTTCACCGTTTTCAAGATGAGTTTCTGAAAGTGCTTTCTTTACTTAGTAACATCTTTGACACCACTGGATGTTATATATATTAAATATATTATTAAATATATTATATATATATCATATGTATTATCGAAGGAAACAAAAAAGTGGTCAACTTTCTTGATGTCACTTTGAACCTAAACAAAGGATCTTATGAGCCATATTCAAAGTAAGCCTAACAACACACCTCTGTATGTGCACCGTGATAGTAATCACCCACCTTCCATCCTAAAGAACATTCCCCTGGGGATCAATAAAAGGCTTAGCGAAATCTCATCGGACAGGGTATCCTTCGACAAAGCAACACCCATGTATCAGCAAGCGTTAGAAGCAAGTGGCTATAATTATCAATTAAAATTTGAAAGAACAACTAAAGACCAGAGGAGTACAGAAGGAAGAAGAAGACACCGAAAAATAACTTGGTATAACCCACCTTTTAGTAAGAACGTTGCTACTAACGTGGGAAAAAAATTTTTAGGCATCGTAAAAGAATCCTTTTCACCAGGGCACCCGCTAAGAAAAATTTTTAATAGGAACACTTTGAAAGTAAGCTATTCATGCATGCCAAATTTAGAAAGAAAAATCGACGCCCACAACAAGTCCTCTCTCGCAAATAATTCTCAATCACAAGAAAAATCATGCAATTGTAAAGACAAACACTCTTGCCCGCTACGTGGCAATTGCCTAATTCAAAATGTGGTCTACCAGGCCACCGTTGAAAGTCCCTTGGGAACCCAACGTACGTCGTCCTTACTGCGAACCAATTTAAAACAAGATTTAGAAATCATAAAGCTTCATTTAGACATGAGAACAAAAGGAACGCAACAGAGTTGAGCAAATATATCTGGTCCCTAAAGGTTAGAATCTCATTTATCTCAATCAGTACATCCTTCGAAAACAAATACTTCTTCTCAGAACTGTCGTTCGCCCTTTATTTTGCCATTAAGTGAAAGAAGTTGAAAAAGTTCAGCTGCAAGGGATCGCGAAATTAATAACTTGAATTTTGATGATAGAATTGTTAAACGGTTTTCTCCTGTTACGTTCACAGGGTAACCATTTAATGACGGATGATCCTGCACAGCAGCACCAAGCTGACGGAGACTCTTTTGTTGCTTCTAGCTTAATTATCTTTCATAGGAACGTCTGTATCTTTACTTTGGGGCAATGGCTCAATAAAAAAGGGGCAAACGGATCACTGTTTCAGTAAATTATTGCGAGTCACCAGTCTTCTCGGTCCTATCTTGATGTTAAAGTTTCCATTAGCTGACTGCCAAAAGACATAGTTTTATTCAAGTATCAAATATCAAAGCTTGTTTGTCATTGAACACTGCCTTCAAGGAATTTCGAGCCTGTGTTGGAGATGGAAAAAAAATCCCTGAAATTTATGCATGTATGGTCCGCTATTGTTCTACGTATTTAATCTACTTTGTTTCACGAACTCTTTTTTTTGTCTCAAATGAGACAAATTCATGATAAACAAAGTTTCTGAGCTGGTTCTCAAACATTCAACACTTACACGGTACAACACCCACTCCTCCCCACCCCCCCCCTCTTTTTCATAGGAGTTAAATTTCATACGTCACTATCACCGAAAAAGATGTAAAGCAGTGAAACTGCTCTGAGGCGAGCCGGGAAAACTAGATTTACCAAGTGAAGTTTGTTATAATTTTGCAAATGGTTCGATCGATAAAGTTTCCTGGACTTATTACAAAGCGTTCTGAAAACAAAACGATTGGAAGCCGAATTACTTTTCACTCTCGATTGAAAATTACTCCATTATGCCCTGAACATCATCACATGGCATCATGGGATTGGAGAACAGCCGTGATAACACGATATAGCGGATGACCTGCGTAAACGATAACTTGGGAGGGGGGATGACGGTCGAAATTAATTAAATCAAAGATTTCATTTCATATTAGCATACCGGTATACCTCTAACAATAGCAGCCGCGTCACACTTTGCTTTCATGCGACGTTACTTTTGAAGGCTAACTTGCGCATGTCAGTTGCATCATTTCTCAAAGTAAATCATTTATGTTATTTGAATGACATTTGTTTATTCTTATGACTCTAAACACTCATTAGTTCACATGATTTGCTTGCCATGGGAATTNGAGTGGCCAATCAGCGTTTGTTGGCATTCACCTGTGGCTGGATTCCAGACCTTTGGAAAGACAAAGAAAAGATATCAACTTTTACTGAAACGTGATGGCTTACTGAGTTGACAAGGGAAAATTCTAAGAGCTGACAAATGAAAACTGGCTAGTCCTTCGGAGCAACGTGAGATGAGCCTAAACAAATTTAAATATCATTTACGGCTTTTAATTTCAAGTTATAATAAAGCTTTTTTTGGCAACGGTGCTTCCTAGATCAAAGGAAGTCCAAAGGTGGAGCAGCTAAAACTTTTTCCGAGATGCAGCCTTGGTAATCTCTCAATGTATGGTGGAACAGTCCCACTCACCTTTAACATATCATCCTTAGAAGCAGATACAATAAAACTGTCATCTGAGGCAACTGCGACACGCCAAATAACGTTTGTATGACCTTTCAATGTGACACAGCATTGCAAAGTGACTAGGTCCCAGATCTTCAATGACTGATCCTTTGATCCAGATACAATTCGCCGGCCATCCTTCATGGAAGTGAGACATTTCACAAAGCCTGCGAATGGAGAGTAAAGCGTTATACTTAGTGCAATAGGCACACTTCGCAAGGCCGCTACACTTGAATGTAGACAGCAAATTGAATGTTCCCAACGGGATTTGATGTACATGACCGAGAGCCTTATATTCTATCCATCATCATCTTCGTCAACACAATTAATTTGTCCGGTTACCCTAAGGATAACACTGTTTATGCGTTCAGACTACTTTGGTACTTCATTGGCCATAAGAGTTATGCCTACGAGAGGATTATTTCTCAGTGGGACTGCCCAAGTCGGACAAGTCAAAGTGCACAGACAAGGTGAAAAAAACGGTCAATTGATCCTCTAGGCTTAAAGTTAGACACAGGGCGAACAACCAGGCTCTGGAAAAAAGTCTTTGTTACAAAAACTGGGGTTTCATTTGTACAACCCTTTATGCCAAAGGGACTACTGTCAGTTTTTCTCCAACTTACCTGTGTGGCCTTTAAAAGTAGCACAGCTCTTTGTCTTTAGATGCCAGGCTTTGACGGTCTTGTCTTCTGAACCAGATATGATGCTTTCTCCATCACATGTTAACGCCAGGCAGAGAACAGAGCCTATATGACCGTCAAACACAGCCTGGCATTTTCCAGAGCTAAGCGACCACACCCCTAGCGTGCTATCATTGGAGCCAGTGATTATTTCACTGTTTGGTGATATAACGATAGCGTTGATTGGTCCTGGATTTAAACAAACAAGTTTGTCTTCATAAGAATAAAAATTGCTTAATTTTTCGAAACATATACCCTATTCGAGGCTAGTTCAAGTCAGGTCTTTAACGAACCGCAAGGAAAAAATAGTAAAAGAAAGAAATAACTTGACATCTTTTATTAGGAGAAACTGTTCAAACCACAAAGCCAGGCTCATTAGTCGTTGAGTGCAGGACTAACAGCGATAAGGCAAACTTGTTTGAAATGTCACAGACTTCAGTAGAAAGTCCCTCAGGCAGGCATTTTCCAGTAAGCAGAAATTCTTTATGTCCTCACTCATGCCTCCCCGGTTAATTCTTTGCTATATCTCGATTACTGTAATATAGCATGGCAGTTGAAAAACATCCATCCCGTCCTGCCCGTCCTGTTTCTTGAAAGTATTCCCTTATTGTGCGAGGTGGTCCCACGTGGATGACATACCGTATTGATGGAATATCGACTCCCATCCCCATGGCAACAGTAGCAAAGATAACCCTCACTTTGGAATCAAGGGAGGCCAGTTCTTTGAGTATTTGATTCTTCATATCATCTGAGGTGTATGGTATTGTGCAAAAATTCTATTTTCTGGCAATGGCTCAGCGCCTGTAGGGTAGTACTGCTCGTTACCCAGTTGCTTATCAAATATTTATAGGCAAACTCACACAATTTCAACTGTAGGTACAGTATAGTTAAAGGATATGCTGCTGTGCTTTGCTTTAAATTATCGGCAATAGGCTTCAGAAGTTCTTCAAAAAAGTCAACATCATCACCTTTGCGGAAAACTTTTTTAAACATTATGTTGGGCCTGTTTGGATTGCCCACGATCTTCAAAGGATTTTTTAAGTTCAAAGATTCCTTAATTGCCAAGATATCTTCCTTGCCTGCAGTAGCAGTCAAAGCAACAACAGGAACACGAGGGAAGGTTGCGCCTAGCATTGCTAATATTGAGTAGTCTTGGCGAAAATCATTTCCCCTGTGATAGGAAATAAGAAAATTATAAAATTTTCATATTGGGTTGATGAAATTAGAAGTGATACGATACATGACTTTAAAATGTAGGTCATAAATATATGTCCTATTGCACGTTTCTCAGGAATTAAATTGAAAAAATTGAAAATTTATCTAATACGTTTATTTCATGCACGGACACTCACCATTCTAAAATACAGTGAGCTTCATCGACGACAACTGCTCTAACAGCGCGCTGATACGGTGGGCTTTGGAAGAGCTCCATTCCATCTTTGCAAGACACAAACGCTTCGGGATGCGTAAAAATCATCTCGTACTTCGCTTCTCTTAGCGAATGGTAGTTCGCGTCACTAGAATCCAAACCTAAATCATGGGAATCGCTTTTCATTTTCGCATTCAAACACGTCCTCTTCAAACTTCCTTCGCTGCTCCTTCTTATTTGATCTTTAATAAGGGCGTTCAAAGGCGAAACAACAATTACAACTGGACGAAATGACGAGGAATGTACAGGTCGTTGATTTTTCAACTTTTCGAACAAGAGTGGCGGTAGAAGGTGAAAATTTAAAGATTTACCGTATATCGTCGGTAAAACGGCCACAACATCTCTTCCCGCATATATATCGCTTCTAATGTTTGGGTTTTAAATTGAGGCTACAATACCTACTCCGAGATATAGCTACTTGAAGGCTGCTATAAAACATGGCAACCCAAACAACGATAACGTTTGAAGGTGACAAATCAAACGAGACAAAATTTGAGCGAACAACCTACTCATCCCTAAGGAATTATTTGCTCTGTAAACACGTGACCAGCCTGAACCAGGGTCTCTCCTCACTCGCTCCAGGGGGCGGGAAGATGAGAGACCCTGGGAACGAGGTTGCCTACACACGAACCTACGAGTTATGAATACTAAATCCCTCACACACCTACGCGACGTGAATAATAATAAACCCTAACCCTAACCTCGTGCACCTACGCTGTATGAATATTTAATTCTGCCCTAAAAACCCCCTCGTACACCTACACGGTATGAATATTTAATTCTGCCCTAAAAAACCCCTCGTACACCTACGCGGTATGAATATTTAATTCTGCCCTAAAAACCCCCTCGTACACCTACGCGGTATGAATATTTAATTCTGCCCTAAAAACCCCCTCGTGCACGTACGCGGTATGAATATTTAATTCTGCCCTAAAAAACCCCTCGTACACCCACGCGGTATGAATATTTAATTCTGCCCTAAAAACCTTCTCGTACACCTACGCGGTATGAATATTTAATTCTGCCCTAAAAACCCCCTCGTACACCTACGCGGTATGAATATTTAATTCTGCCCTAAACATCCCCTCGTACATCTACGCGGTATGAATATTTAATTAGACCTCACTCGGCCGAATCACTCGGACCCAGACCGCGCAGATGTTTCCATACAGTCCTCCATACTACTTTCGGTTCATTATTAATGAAAGTTAATTTTCTGATGCGTAACTTTGTTTTGTTTAAGCCAGCTGAAACTTGCTTTACAAGTCTTGGAATTCCGCTTAAGTGATTCTTTGAGGTAAGATCGGGCTTACATTTGTTTCCCTGGCAATCAAAAGAGTCTTTAATTATCTAAAGAGAGTTCAATACCGGCCGGACCAACACTCAGGGTCTTAAAATTAACTGAGAAGAATATGCTTCCTTTCTTTAACATCAAGAAATGGTTAGATATTCTAGTCTTCTCGGATAGGGACGAATAAATGGAGGTCCCGTCTCCTGCAGGGTTAGGGGCAGGAGACGTTAATTTCCCACGCACGAGATTACTGTGTGATGGATGTCCTCCCCTGGGGTGGGTTGGGTGGGTATACAGCGCTTTGGACAATTAGTGGATTTTAGCGCTATATAAATACAATTATTATTATTATTATTATTATTATTATTAAAGGCGAAATTAAATTCCAAATAAACGATGGGAAGCGAAAAATGAGTCATTCTCAGCTCTGGTTCTAACTCTAGGCTATATGTTTATGACAAGATTGAACTTTCTAGGAGAACATATCGTCGCTCACTTGTTCATCAATGATCAACTGAAAAAATTTACCAAAATTTTTTCAAAATCAGTTTCTCTAACACACCTGAATATTACTTTCATGGCAACATTCTCTGGTTAAAATCGGCTCGTCTTGCTGACAGGTCCTGACAGGTCCTGACAGGCAGCTCTTAGCATCAGATTATACACACGTACTCTGAAAGTATATTGTTCACAACCAATAGATTTATCTAATCAACTTCGTATTAGTCTATTCTCCAAAGAAGGACAATCGAATTTCCATAAACATTCATATTGCATGACAAAGACTGTAGTTGTCATTTAATTCCATTTCGTGTGCAGAACGTTAGATCTGCGCAACTGGCCTCACAAGACTAGATAGTAATCCTGTTAACACGCTGTTTCAAAACAAGTCACTGAGATTTAAGCTTTCCTTTGCAGAACTGTGCACTAATAAAGGAAAATAATGCATTGCTGACCTTGTTTCAAGGACCCACTAAATCGAAACGCTGATCGCGCGCAGGTCAACAGGTTCGAGATGTATGATAAATCAACAAATATCATCTTAGCCAACCATTTTGAATCCTTCTTCGGTGTTGAAGGATAAAAAATTGCAAAACAAGTAACGCAGTGAAAATTTATTCTCTGATGGTCTGGAGTTTTCTTTGCTTCCAGTTGCGGAATAAAGACGCTAATTAGAGACCACTTTCATAAATGGCTGCCGTATAAATATTCTTTTGTTTAAATTTAAATTAGCCCTTTTGGCCTCGCTTGAGATAATGTATTCTTTTGAATTTTGTACTGGAGAACGAGGCCAGTAGTGCTAATTTAAATTTAAACAAAAGAATATTAATGCGGCAGCCATTTATTAAAGTGGTCTAGTATCGTAACCACTGCATAGGATCGATAAGGGTTTTGATAACTGGGAAGCGAGAATTTATTCCATTAATGCCCCCTCCCCCTGCCCCACATATGCAATCTTGTTTTAAAGAGGTACTCGTATAAGCCATTACCTAGGATTCTACATATTGGCCCCTTTGAGGCCCTAATAAAAATTCTCAGAAACCCAGTTCAGAACTTTCACCTCATCTTCGTTATCATGGTTGTTTAACCTCCGCTGTTAAGGACGATATACTCCGCTTTTAAACCTATGGTAATATTCTGCTCTTCCAGTATAGGAAATAATTTTATTTTATCGCAAAATTGTCGGTATTTGGTGAATATTATATGCTAATTATCACAATGTCTGCACAATATTTGGGAGTTGCCTTTTTGATTGGAAATTAGGTAACCAATGAAAAGAGACTTACACTAATTACCATGTAACGCATAATAGAAATACTGCATTGAGTAAGAAATGAATCATTTGATTGTTGACTAATTTTGCTCTTTTCTTTCTTTTTATCCCTTTGGTTCACCTTTGTTTACAAAAGTTTTTGAAATCTTGTAGCGGTTGACTCGGTATCCAAGTAATGGTACGATGTGAAGTGAATGTAACGGACACGGGTACGTTTCTAGGACATAAAACTGTGCTTATCTAAGTTTTGTTTCTAAAGCAAGTCAGTAACGGAGGAGCACCAATGTCTCTCTGGCGGATTTTTGGTAGAATGTTATTTAGAAAACGTCGTCTTACTGTGGGTGCAGTTGTGGCTAGTTTCCCATTCATTGGTTATCTGTTACTTTCGCCTTCAAGAAGACTTTCCTATTCATTTTCGACCAACCAACATAACTCGTTTTCTACAACCTCAGTATCGAACCAGATCTGGAATGAAACAATTGTGACAAAAATTCCAACAGGTAACGTTAACTTGACATCAGCACTGATGACGGTGGCAGCTACCACTGAAACGGTACAAGTTACGAATGTGGCTTCAAGACCTCCAGGACGCCTGGATGTCCATATGTGGACTGAGATATGTGGAACCTCGGTCGAAATTTTAAAAAACTGTCCTCATTTTCCTTACTTTCCCGACACACGTTCATTCATCCCTGATTTTTATGACGTTCGTGCACGTGGTTCTACGAATAACGGCGAGAGAGTTTTTGGATTTATTCACCCCGCTGAAAGCGGTGAGTATAAGTTTGCCATATCCTCGGATGACACATCTGAGCTATGGCTAAGTCAAAATGAGGATCCTGGTTCCAGTGAGATGATCGCACGTGTTTATTCTCCTAAAGAGTCGGCATGGACCGAAGAAGGGAACTACAAAAAATATCCTGAACAAATTTCTAAAGCATTCACTCTCTTCGCTGGGAAGAAATATTACGTTGAGTGTTTAATGAAGCAAGGAACTGGTGCCGCTCATTTAACTGTGTCTTGGTCTTACAACAACGCGACATTTGAAACAATAACTTCGAAATATTTATCCTCGTTCTCTGGCACTCACGAATCGATGATTCCTGTTCATGCGGGAAAACAAGAAAATAAATTGCTGCAAACAAAATACAGCCTATATGACTTTAATCGTCTTCCGCTCTTAAACCGGCAAGAGTACGTTGACTTATTTCCAAGTTGCCCCTATAATCCCAGTTTTTTAGTGCACAGGAAGCTGAAGCGATACCAAGGCGTGTCGATTGCAACACGATCAAACGTTTTCCCTCAAGACAATACGGACATGTCAAGCCGTAGAGTGAAACACAAGTGGTCTTTCCCTAATCCGCTGATAAACGGAACTGCAGTCCAACTTGTTGTAGACCGCTTTGTCAACACTCTAAAGTCTAAGAGGTAAGCTGTCGGCCGTATTTACATTTTCACAAAATATCGAATTGCACTTTATATAATTGGAGAAACGCTTGAGGGGTTCAACTTGCATTATTGATTGTTTTTTTGTTCTTTTATTTCACACGCTGATCGTGTATCTTGTGAAAACAAATACAAGAAAGAATAAACTGAGCACGGTGTCTCGAGGTCTCATAGTTTGTGCCACAAAACTTAGCATCATGGTACCGCAATATAGATAAATGAATATCACTCATTGCTGAGATTGAACTGACAGGTAGATGCTGATTGCGATAAAAAAAAAAGGTGAAGAAAGTTTACCGTAGTAAAACTTTAAATCTGTGCCTTTCCTTCCACTCTCTGTATTGTGCCACACTACAGAAGTGTGCAGCTAAAATGTTGGTTCGTGTATTTAATGTCGATAAATACCGGGAAGGAAGATTCATGTTTCCGGTTTTCTGATTGAAAAAAATGGGGAAGGAAAAAAATGCACCAGATTGGTTCTAATTCCTCTGTCGGCGCGTTTGAGTCTCTGACTCCCGTTTGTGAAGGAAAACACGTTATGATTACCGAAAAACTGACTAAACACCGAAAACAGAATATCGGCATAGAGTCTGCTAGTTTGTGGTAAAAAGTTTTCATTGTGCTATCGCAATATAGCTTATTGAATAAGAATGATTGCACTCAATTTTAGGTCAGTGATACGTGTTTCTGGTTTTCTTATTGGAAAAAAGACTGAAAACCAAAGACAAAAAGGTGCATTGGAGGGATTCTAAATTCTATTAATTAAAAGTTACTCTGACTACCGGTCGTGACATGAGTAGGAGACTTGGGAGTTATGAATGCCAAAAAGCTGACTCAACACCGAAAAAGGAATATATCTACCAACTATAAATAATTTTAGTATTGAGCTGTGCACATCATTAAGCTTCATTGTAAACCGACATATTTTCCTCCCATCGCCGTTGCCCATGCGATGTGCTCCTACTGTGATTATTGATAGAGTGAGCTCATAAAAAATGAGTGAATGAGATGAATTATGGATGAAGAACTATTTTGTTTCATTCGTTTGTGATCCAAGCGGTTATATTTAAAGAAGTCTTAATGTCGGTAGCGCCAATTAATTGGATAGCGGTGTTGAGAGGTTCAGTGGGGTTAACCAATAACCGTAATACGGCAAAAAAGAATAAAAATAACCATTAGGAGTAAAATTGGACAAATTTTAACCGTTAGTCGTAGAGAAAGTTAGCTAAAAAAAGATCATCATTTAAGTTAACAAATAAACCGTTAGCCGTAAGATGGCCAAAATTTTTACGGTTAGCTGTAAAAGCCATCACGCCACCGGCTGAGACTCCCGGTGTTGCGTGGGAAGGACTTCAATACAAAAGCTGTGTCACCTCAACATCCAGGGAAAATTCGAGATCTAATTGTCATTGGAAAGGTATTCAGACAGCTTTGTTATATTGTTAATCAGTCAATCTGGCCCCGGTCGTTCGAAGGCTGAATAACGCTATTCACTGGAGAAATCTCTATCCAGTGGATGGCGCAGTAGATTTGGAAAACACTTACCCGCTGTATAGTAATGCATCCGTTGGATACCGTTCTCTCCCCTTTGAACAACTACGTCCAGACTGGTGTGACAAACTGTCAAAGGCTCCGCAATTATGCGCAGGAAAATGATTAATTATTTTTATTTCATATTAATTGACTCTTGAAATAACGATTTTTGTTTTACCTGTGCTGGAACGAAACTCACGGAACCGTGAACAATAGCATATTGTAGAGAACTGTTTTTATGCTTTGAAGAAAAAGCTATTCAGGCGTCAAAAAAAGAAACCACAAATAACAATGTTACATTTAGTTTGCGGTTTTCAGGTTTGCTCGCTTGTCCTGAAATTTGCTTTGATTTGTCAGGAAACAATTTTAAAAGCTGTCAGAGTTAAGTAGAGTGTTTTCTTTTTCTTTTCTTTTTTTTTTTTTCTCATTTGAGTTAATAACCAATAGCGGCTGATTAAACTTTGATCATACCTAGTTCAGGAGTGACTATGGAACCTGCACGGTTGAACCTACGATTCTGCTGTTGTGCTGAGTTTCAAAACAGTTTTCTCTCTGGTCTGAAAACCTAATATATTACCATATATTACAAAGCATATTTCACTTTCTATTATCGCATAGTAACACCGAAAATTCTCTTTTTCAATTAATATTCTGTTTGTTTATCGTAAATATTTGGCTAAGGTTTCCCTGCCTTCAATACAAGAGCATGGCAACGGTGGTTTTGGCAAATTATGGACCCTAAGCAGGGTGTGGCAAAATGGGCAGAACAAAACCTCAGCACATGCGGTTTAAAACTTTTTACACTTCCTGGCCGTCCTGTACAAAACAGCAACGTAAACTCGCCAAAATTTGTATGGTCCACGGCGGGCAATTTTTGATCTGATCTGGGCCATGGATCTGTCTATAGTGTCCAGGCCTCCAGGAGGAACATTTCGCTCGGCCTTTCGGAATGCGACCAAGGGGTGTAACTGACACTCCGTTACAGTTTGAAATACGTACCTTTTTTAATCTCGACGATTCACTTGTACACAACACACAGAAAAAATACAGAATTAACAATGCGAACTTAAACCCAACGAAACTAAAATACAACGAAAGAAATACGAGAAACTACAGGAAAATACAAACGAAAGCGTAACTATTTACAAGATCTGTACGGCACTCCGGAATAACAACGACTGAATGAAAATCACAACTACGATGTTATATAGCGGATAAAAGGCTAAAACAATAGACTAAACAAGGCTACACAATACTNTGATGGATGTCCTCCCCTGGGGTGGGATGGGTGGGAGGGTGGACTAGCACGAATGGTTCCTATGTTCCTTTCTAGTCCTTCCCCACTGCAAAACTTAATGCAGTGAAAATGGACTAAATTAAATTAAATTAAATTAAAATTAAACTAAATTAAAATTAAATTAGATAGTACTGTAAATCAAATGATATACTGTGAATAGAAAGGGGGAGTTCCTTGCTTGAAGGTAAATATCCGCCATTGGCCACCAACACTGAAGTGAAAAGTTGTTTTTGTATAATTATACTAAAACAGTGAGATAATATAGCACAAAAATATTTTTTACCTAAGTTATTCCTGCAATATCTACATTAATTTTTGGCACAAAGCCTGCATGCACCTGTTGCATGGAGGTGAATAGCAAAGGATATTGCGATTTTAAGTAGACAATCCAAGCAAGCCCGAAGTATTATCCACAGTTTTGGCATCTGCTAAATACCAATACAGGCAGAGCTAAACTTAGTTACAATACTGTTGTTATATAAGTACTTAATCTTGTTTGTCGTTTAGTTATTTTCTTATTAATCATATTTGTTTTTTTTACCTTTCACTAGAAAAAGAATGCATTGTGTGCTGGGACAAGAAAAGAGAGGTCGTTTTCATTCATGAAGACTCGACAGTAGCACACAATGTCTGTTGTTCCGAGTGTGCCTCAAAGTTGGATTATTGCCCACTCTGTCGAAGTAAAATAAGAGATCACATTATGTATATATAATAGGGTTTTTCTTAACTAGTCTCAAACTAGTCAGTTCTAGTCAATTTAGGCATCAACCATTGGTTTTAGAAGTAAGTTTGGTAAATAATTGAGTGCGCTTTGCATTGTTGGGTGAAGTTTCGAAAAATTTGCATCTTGTCTTTCCTCTACCCTGTTTTAGTTAAGCGACTAGGTTTCTGCACTGCATGAACCTTCAAGACCTGCTGAGGCAGCCAAACTATAAAACTAAAACATAAGGTGAGAGAGCTTTCTCTATATGCGCTCGGAAGATTTGTAACACTTTTCCGCTGTCAGTAAGACAATACAGTACTGTAACAGTTTGTCAGTACAGTTTGACCATACAGTACAGGTTACACTGAAAGTTAAGAATTTTTTTACAAATTGCCATTTTAACGGTTGGACTGCTTTTATAGACTTCTAAACGTGACAGATGACTTTTACAGGGTAAAGAATTAAAAAATTTATGCAAATTAGGAATACACTTCTCAGGAGTATAGAGAAGCTTAAAAGGAACCTTTAGGTTTATACTTCCCAAGAGGGAGAGACGAAAGAAATTTTTTTTCTACCATTTAGTACCACACTGAGGGAATTTAACTGTTCATGATTGTAACTGACACTCCGTTACAGTTTGAAATACGTACCTTTTTTAATCTCGACGATTCACTTGTACATAACACACACACAGAAAAAATACAGAATTAACAATGCGAACTTAAACCCAACGAAACTAAATACAACGAAAGGAATACGAGAAACTACAGGAAAATACAAACGAAAGCGTAACTACTTACAAGATCTGTACGGCACTCCGGAATAACAACGACTGAATGAAAATCACAACTACGATGTTATATAGCGGATAAAAGGCTAAAACAATAGACTAAACAAGGCTACACAATACTCAAAGGCGATTACATGAAACAACGCTGACAAACTTAATTTACATTTTGACAGCACGAAAAAATACAAACTAATAAATACAGAACTCT